CTGCATTGTGCTCCACATTCCATGGAGTTTTCACTATATAATTATGTAATAGTTTCAAACAAGAAATGCATTAGCTATCCACATTGTTTTAGAATCATGTTTAAGAAGACCTCCCTGAAGAAAGCTTAGCTAGGAAATCTAGGAAATTTAAAGTTTTCACTCTCCCTGTACTATCTTAGTTCTGTGGTTAGAACTCCTTCCTTGTTTTTTGAAAATTTTGAAAGCTCGTGGATAGCCTCTTATAGTGTTATTAGCATGTATTACATTGACAGCCGGGGATTGCTCGCAGAAAAATGCATGCGAGCAATCGTGAAAATGAATCAGTTGTACTACTTCTAACATAATTTAGATTGGCAATTTAACACACAAAGAAATTACAACTCCTCATTGACTTTTGTAGTGTATTATGCTCTTTTTGTAATGTGCTTATGAGCGCATAGATGCTCACTATGGGCTAGGTCAAATTACTAGCGTTCTGCTAGTATAAGCCTCAACTAAGCAAGAATTGACTTTGAACATTTTCTCCAATTCTTCACAGTTAACTTGTTGTTGCGACTTCAAATACGTTAAGCATAAATGTGGTTTCTTTCTCGATTTAAAGGTTAAGGCGAACATTTGTGATTTTGAAATATATAGAGCAACATAACCCATCAAGCTGTGAAATGGGTGACTGAAATCAGCTCTAGGCTGTTTTGTCTTGGAATGGTTCTTCTTAGACGGCCGCCTCTCACTGTTGCATCGGGGAGACTCGTATATTTTTTGCGCAGCGAGGTTTTTCATCTTGTCATGAACCGGTATTATCGATGCCTTATTCTGTACTTTCTCCCACCTTATTTTCTTGACAATTTTCCGACCGAGATTTGACAGAACGCCAAACTTTGGATAAAAACGTGGCGGTTTTCTCGCGGCGCGGGGGCGCAACGTACGCTCCTATAAAGGAGACTCCTAATCCTACATGCTGGACTATTTTATTCGAAGTGTGCCAACGGAACGAACTATTTTTCATTTTTTAAACATCTGCTACAGCTAACGGAACAATCTTCACCAACATAAAACAGAAACAACCGTAAACTTTGAACTAAGTCGTGACCCATCACCATATCTGTGCGATTTTTAAACACAATATCATAGAGGTAAAATTTATTATATATAACCAACAAAACAAAAGAATGTCAGCACAGGTTTAGTAGAGCATAGAATCATTTCAAAGTCAAAAGTTCTAAGAAATATCATCACAACTCTGCTTCTATGCTCTTAATAAGAAGCAAGATCCCGAAAAAAAGACAAGTAACTGACCTAACAAACAGAGGTACCACTAGGACAAAAAGGGAATTACAACAGAGAAATTATGTTTCTTGAATTTTACTGTTGAGGTGGAGGAGGTGGAGGGGGTGGCGGAGCTGGGGCCGATAGGATCCGCGAAAGGTCCGTTTGTGGAGCTGGAGGGGGTGGAGGAGGAGGTGGTGGAAATCCACCCATTGGCGGTGGTGGAGGTGGTGGAACTGGGAGCGGCATCGTTGTCGCACCTCCATACCATCCTCTGAAAGAAAAGATTGCGCATAAGTACATTTACCACACTATCTGAAGATGTTCTTTTTAGATACGTCTCCATTCAGGGCATTAAATAAAAAGGGCAAACCCTCTAAATGCTGATGCTCCACGTCCTCTAGCTCCAGGACTCGAAAAGAATCCTTGCGGTTGATATGGATCCGTGGGCGGTCCCATTCCATATGGAGGTCTTGCACCGGGCGGTGGTGGCACCATTCCCATTC